TGATAAATCGCATTTCGTTTTGTCTGAAAATTCCCGATAGTAGCTTTTCGTTTCTCTGATATTTCGCATACATAGCTGAAATTTCTGAAGTTAGTATTTCGTTCTCTAGGCATATTGGGATAACGATAGAAGTGGTCATATTCTCGGAAACTGGAATTATTCTTTTCTGAAAATCGAATTTCCATTCTATCTCGCAAATTTTTTTTGAAAACCGAAATCTTGCGAAGCCTACCAATATTGGGTTAGGCATATTCGGAGGTTGCTATATTCTCAGAAACTGGATTTCGTTCTTTTCTGAAAATCGCATCTTTAGTATTCTTTACTCCATTTCGCAAACAAAAATTTCAAGATCGCAGTTTGTAAAAGCCGAAACTTTGCGGAACCTAGCCTAGATCTCGTTCATAGTACTCTTCTGACATGTCCTACTCATAATAGATCGACAGATACACACACACACAAAAAAAAGAAAAAAAAAGGAAGTAGTCCTCTTTTATTTTTATATTTTTTATCTGTTGATTAGGGTGGAGGAAAGTATTGTTGGGTTGGGTTCCTACCTGCGTTTTCCCTCCCACCCACCCCTTTGCATGCATTTCCGGGTTGGTACAGTGACACGTCAGCAGTGCCACGTCAGACACAGTGACATGTCAGCTACAGTGACACGTCAGCAGTGCCACGTCAGACACAGTGACACGTCAGCTACAGTGACACGTCAGCAGTGCCACGTCAGACACAGTGACATGTCAGCTACAGTGACACGTCAGCAGTGTCACATCAGACACAGTGACACATCAGCTACAGTGACACGTCAGCAGTGCCACATCAGACACAGTGACACGTCAGCTACCGTGCCACGTCAGCAGTGCCACGTCAGACACAGTGACACATCAGCTACAGTGACACGTCAGCAGTGCCACGTCAGACACAGTGACACGTCAGCTACAGTGCCACGTCAGCAACATGACGGGCCTGCCAGGCCAACTGGCGAATGAGCCCATTGCCGACCACAAAAAGCGCTTCCAGGCTCAGCTCGCTTTAATCGAGGCTGAGGAACAACGCCAGCTGGCAGTCAAGGCTGCCCAGCTACAGGCTGAAGAAGCGGCAACAGCAGAGAAGCTGCGGCTACAGGCCGAAGCAGACGCAGATGCCCAGGCTCGCCACAAGGAAGCCCAGGATCTGCTGCAGCGGCATGAAGCCAACAGCATCAAGAGACTCAAGTACTGGCACTTTGAACCGAATGGCGACGAGGCAACACCGGAAGAACAGCATAAGGAGTTCATGGCCAAGCTCGTGACCAGGTTGGTTTACACTTGTAACCACCTACAGTCCGAGCTGGCGCATAAGACTCAGCACGAGGATGCCACACGGGCACTGGACGCCCGTGTACAGGACTTGGAACAAGTTCCACCAAGACCAGATGCTGGGGCTTCCAGCAGTGCACCCGCTAGCCGCCAACTGGAGGAACACGTTGATCACGTAGTGGCAATGCTCGGCGACATCAGCACCTTCGCTGCGCTGACCACCATCAGCAGTCAGCTGCATACCTTGAAGACCGAGGTCCAGCAGCTGCAGTCGACGAACACGGATGGCAATCCTAAGTTGTACAAGATGCCAACTTTCCAACTGGACAGGTTCGACGACCACACGCAGCAGGATCCGGTCCTCTGGTGGGAAGCATTCACGACGCAACTTCGGATTCTGCCTGCCGCTAAGCATGCGTACATCGGCGCCCTGTTCATGAACTCAAAGGGCGGATGCCAGACCTGGTTGACCCACCTGGCAACCTCTCACGGCGTCGACGTACCAGACTTGAAGGACAAGATCACATGGGAGGAACTGACACGGCTGTGGAAGAAACGGTTCATTGTCGACGACGCGCCGACACTCGCCATCAACCGTCTTTTCACCATGTCACAGGGCAACACCGCAACACGAGACTGGCTCACGGAATGGCAGAAGATCGCGGCAGTGCCCGATCTGGACTTACCATTCACGCATCTACGTCGTGAGTTCTATAACAGGTCATGCGCTGCGCTGAGCCAGGCACTTGGTGATCGCGAGCAGTATGCATCTTTCGCCGAGATCATTGACAAGGCAAGAGAGATGGAGAAGACCCAGCAGCCACTCCAGCATCACGTGAGGGAGATCAGGTGGTTGTTGTCTAGCCGCGAAGCAACAACAAGTCCCGGAACAATGGGAAGGCGAAACCGGCATCGCAGGCCGGAAATGGACAGCCAGCACCACCATGGGTCAAGTTCGGCTTGACCGAGCCCGAGCACAAGTACCGCGGCCGTTACGGCTGCTGCTACTGGTGCAACAGCACCAAGCACAAGACCTCTCTTTGCTAGGATCAAGCCAAGGAGGATGTGCGGCCTCGGCTCAACTCGGGAAACTGAGTTTCGTGGGAGGTGAGGCGACTCCACCCCCCACTCCGCCAGATTCGGCCGCCTTGCTAGCGGCCTCCTACACATCTGGGGAGGATGCGAATGTTGCAAGTCCTCGGTACACTTACGAGGATTATGCTGTCCACTTGGTTCCACCGCTGGACCAACCGCTCCACGTGCAACAATCTACCGCATGCACGGTTTCATCACCATCGGCAACCGATTCGGCAACTTCGCCATCATCTACCGTCGGGGATTCAACGTTATGGTCAAGACTTGAAGAACTCGACCCGTTGACTTTTGAGGACTTCCAATGGATGCCCCTGCCCCAATCCGGTCGCTTGCCGAAACCGCATTGCAACGTGCTCAAAGCACAATTGCGGGATTACTTGCACACTGCAGTACCGACTCCGTTGATGGACGCCGGAGTAGAGGTTGTCGACCTTCACGCCTACATTGCGAAGATCGACAGCGAGTTCAGGACGCAACGGTACGACGACATCGACGCACCATTGCTATATGTACGCATTCAGATCGGAGAGGCGACCTGCAGCGCTTTGATTGATTGCGGAGCATCTCGCAACTACATGAGTCAGGACTTCATGGTACGCGCCGGCCTTGGCCCACGAGTCTGAAGGAAGTCCCACCCCACGCAAGTCATGTTGGCGGACGATCACACGCACAAGTCAATCGACCAGTGTATTGATGACGTCCCAGTGTACTTTGCCCCTCACGCAAGTGAGGCGGTGTCCTTTGATATTCTGGACACCAAATTCGACATGATCTTGGGCATGTCATGGCTGCGAAGCGAGGACCMCCCGGTGAACTTCTACCGCCGCACCGTTCCCGTTCGTGATCGGAACGGAGTACTAGTCCTATGCACGGTAGCTCCTCCTCACCCTTNCGTTCGTGATCGGAACGGAGTACTAGTCCTATGCACGGTAGCTCCTCCTCACCCTTCAGTCAGCTGTCACGTGGTATCCGCCGCAAGCATGCAAGCTTCCATCATCAGAGACGACATCGAGGAGATGGGGCGATGTTTTCTCCACGCCTTCCCGCCCCATGACGCTTCATCGACGGACTCTTCTTCGGATCCACGCATCACCGAGCTTCTCGACGCCTACAACGACGTGTTCGAAGGCCCGCACGGAGTAGTACCGGATCGGCCCATCCGCCACGAGATCATCCTCGAGGACGGGGCCGTACCTCCACACGGTTGCATCTACCGAATGAGCGAGGAAGAGTTAAGTGTGCTTCGGGCACAACTCGACGACCTTCTGGAGAAAGGYTRGATTCGGCCTAGCTCATCGCCATACGGTGCTCCTGTTCTCTTCGTCCGGAAGAAGAACAAGGATTTGCGGTTGTGCATCGATTATCGCAAGCTCAACGCACAGACGATCAGAAACATCGGCCCTCTCCCAGGCATCGACGATCTTCTCGAGCGACTGGGCGGCGCCAAGTTCTTCTCCAAGCTCGATCTCAAGTCGAGATGTCACCAACTCGAGATCCGGCAGGAGGATCGCTACAAGACCGCGTTTAAGACGCGATATGGGCATTTCGAATGGTTGGTTATGCCATTTGGCCTTACGAATGCCCCGGCCACTTTCCAAGCGGCTATGACAACGGAGTTCCGACACATGCTGGATCGATACGTACTTATCTACCTCGACGACATCCTGGTGTACATCCGGAGTTTGGAGGAGCATGTGGAACACCTGCGCACCGTTTTGGAGCGGCTACGACAGGCCAAGTACAAAGCCAACCGCGACAAGTGCGAATTCGCGCGGCAGGAGCTGGATTACTTAGGACATTATGTGACGCCTCAAGGCATCCGTCCGCTTGCGGACAAAATCGAGGCCCTACGAGTATGGCCCGAGCCCACCAACACCACGGACGTTCGTTCATTCATGGGGTTGGCGGGCACTATCAGCGATTCATCACCGGATACTCCAGGATTGCTGCACCTATGACGAGGTTACAGTCGCCAAAGTTGCCATTCGTATTCGATGACGACGCACGCCGGTCATTCCAAGCACTTAAGACGACCATGCTCATGGCACCCATCCTTAGCATCTATGACCCCACCCTGCCGACGCGAGTGACTACGGACGCTTCCGGCTATGGCATTGGGGCAGTCTTGGAACAGCACGATGACGACGATTGGAACCCTGTGGAGTATTTCAGCCACAAAGTGCCTCCCATCAACTCGCTTGATGATGCAAGGAAGAAGGAGCTGCTCGCATTCGTCATGGCTCTCAAGCGATGGCGGCACTTCCTCCTTGGGCGTCGTAGGTTCACATGGGTTACGGACAACAATCCATTGACCTACTACAAGACGCAGGATACGGTGAGCAGTACAATCGGACGATGGATGTACTTCATCGACTTGTTTGACTTCACACCGAAACATCTTCCCGGCCTCTCAAATCGCGCAGCAGATCTCGCGAAGACCTGATCTTTGCGCTATGACACATCATGCCTTCGCATTCGACAAGGAGCTTCAGCGACACTTCATCCGGGCATATGAGTCTGATCCGTACTTCGCCACGTTGTATGCACAGCTATCTTCGGATCACCCGCCGGCCAGCCACTATCGCAATGTCGACGGGTACTTGCTCCTCCACTCGAGAGGCAAGGACTTACTATGTGTCCCACGCGACCGCCGTCTTCGGACTCGCCTCCTCGGCGAGTATCATGATTCGCGACTCGCCGGCCATTTCGGAGTCAACCGCACTGTTGCACGGCTTCGACATCGATTCCGATGGCCCGATCTCATTACCGATGTCACTCGGTATTGCGACTCTTGCGAAGTTTGCCTACGGCAGCAAGCCGCGGCAGTACAAAGTTACATTCAGAGCATGCGATCCCGAAAACACTCGGTGGATTTCAGGAGCAGATTTGAAAGCATTTGCACCGCTGATCTACGCTCACTACGAGCGACAAAGGTTAGCTAAGGGACCTCCACGACCTGCCCCTCCCACCCGGACGCTGGTCCCTTCCTCAAACAAACAGCTTCGCCCTCGCAGGTAAGCTCGGTCTTTCAAGGAGGGGGGGGGGTGGCATACTGCGTAGCCACACGGGCCCTGCAGGGCGCGTCCCGCACTTTCAGCCTAAAAGCCTAAAACTTAGGGCTTACAGGCCCCGGTCGTTTCAGCCTGAAAGCTGAAAAACGAGGGCCTGCAGGCCCTACTCCGTTTTCAGCCTATTTTTGGGCCTTTCAGGCCCAGAGGCTTTCCAGCCTGAAACGGAGGGCCATTTTCAGACCCTCATTGTGTTCGACCTACCTAAGACTCAGGCACAGAAACAGGGTTTCGGGAACAGGCCAGAAATAGCCTGTTCCCCACGCCAGCTCGAGCAGGAGCTGCAAYTGCAGCCCCTGCCTCCCTTCGGCATTGGCAAGAGCAGCCTCCTGGACTGCTCGCCCGACTCAGGAGGCACACCCGGTAGTACATAGGAGGTTCCCATGCACTTCACGGGTAGGTAGGGTCAGTAGGCACGAGTAGTCTTCAGGATTCGGCCGCAGCACTCAGGAGGAGCGCTGCAGTAGTCTTCAGCGCTAGGCAGTAGTTAGCGCTAGTAGTAGTCTTCGGCGCTGGGCGCCCATAGCCATAGTGGTAGTCTTCAGCGTTGGGCGCTATGGTAGGTGGTAGATAGTAGAGTTGGGAGAGACACAGGCGGAGGCCAGTGGTACTTACCTATGGCGCCATCGCTCCAGCTCCATCTGCGAGGTACCTGCATCAAGGCACCAACTTCACAGGTTAGTACTGGACACAGAGAGAGAGAGAGAGAGTACTTCTTCTTCCTCTTCTAAGTCCATCTCTTCTCACCCTCTCACCACCTGACTTCTCAGACTACGACAGAGAGAGA